GAGTTCTCATAGTGAAAGTACGCTGCCTGAGATATTTTTGTCCAAGCTGTATGGAGTGCTGTTTCCAAGCACTGCCGGGGTTGAGCTCAAGACTTCACGCATTCGAAGCAGATATGGAAAAGCTCAAAACCAACCAAAGAGTTGTGCTATTCAATCAGAATTGTGTGTTATCGAGGATGATGTAGCAAAATTAGATAGAGGGTTTTCTCCTATTCCTGCCAATAGTTCTATTCCTTCCATATCTAGGAGGAGCTCCGGAACAGCTCTAGGGCTTCACGCGCTTATTCCTTTCGAAAAGTGTTTGTTGCACCACGCATCTGTTTATCTGCAAATCGGGGACGACTGAACACCGTAGCCAGTAGCTCGAGTGTTTCAAACTCTTGAAAGGAGTACAACTATTGGCCAGCTCACTATAGATGGTATTAAAAACGGAATGGGCTGGAAGGCACCTGCAAAGCCATTCTGGATTCTAATAAGGAACTTGTTGCATTCATGTCCAAGTCCTATACACGCCTGGCAAGTAAACATCTTGCATATCAATTTTAATGCGATAAAATGAAATGTCTAGAGAAAGTCTAAGGTTGAATAGAGAACGAAAATGATTTCCTCTGTTCCACCTCTAGCATTCCCAGCGCTTTTTACTGGAAGTGGAACAGGGAAAATCGTTTTCGTTCTCTATTCAACCTTAGACTTTTTCTAAACATTTCGAAAGGGATAAAAGTAAAGAAATGTTTGAAATATTTACTATAAAAAGCTCTGTATCTCCGTTATCCTTTATGTTACAAAAAAAAAGTACAAGGACACTTTTTATAGAGAATTAAATTCTTCACAAAAAAGGTTTCTTGAGTTTTCTTGAAAAAACTAATAGAAACTGAGATATTTGAAAAAAATCAAAAAAATCCAAGATGGCGGCCATTTTTTGCAACCTTCCACCCCTAAGACTGAATGGGACTTTTAGGAGGTTAAATAAGAGGTCACTTACTAAACATTCCCGCTGGAATCAGCTTGTTGCTAATTTGTTGCACCCTGACCCCCCAGATTGACTCAGCTATATATTTAAGGAAACTTTCTGTCAAGCGGTTTGCTTCTATCACGATTTGAAACGTTTTTCCGTATACCGCTACGACTACAAGTAAAAAAATAAAAAAACATTTTGATGCATGGCGAAATTGCCAAAATTATTATACAAATGTTAACAAGTTTCAAATTATTCTTGTGACGTCACTGGTAATTTTGTTTTCAAATATTTCACATCAAAAAATATCCTCTGCTGCTTGAAAGCAGTGCACGAAATTTCAATGATATATCTAGAGTGGTTTGAAAATTATGATAAAAAAGTTTTTTCCTTAGAATTTCAACACCCTGTATCTCGGAAAGGATGCGTTTCCGGACATGTTTATATAGGAAACTAGGCTCGTTTTCGACGTAGAATACGCCATAAAAATTTGGTACATCAATTTCGGAACACCCTGTATCAGTTGTGACATTTGAAAAATTAATTATTATTACTACTTTTCCTTTCTACAACAAACTTTCACAAATATGCTATAGCAGAAGACATTCCTCTCACGGGTTCAAAAACTTACGTCATCGCATATTTTTAAGTCGTAACAACGTTTTAATTTAAAAAGAACATTCGTAGAACAGGTGTTAAGCGACATATTAATATGAAGTTGGATCCGACAACAAGTGTGAAAAATACAGATGACTAAACGGCTAGGGTTATTAAACCCAAAATATTTTTTCGTCAGAATTTTTTATAATTATTCCTGATATTTTTTTTTTTTGAGTCAAGTTTTATTATTACTCTCCTGCATCCTGGATCTTTCAAAATCAATTAAGCTGTATAATTTTAGTGCATCCACTGAAGCGACGCTACTACTGCTATAAAATGTTTTAGTGTTTTGCATTCCCAGTAGATCTTCAAATTTATGGTCGTTCTACTACAATGTAAGATTCCTTGTATTCAGGCAAGCGGTTTCTATAACCTATAACCTTCAATGAAAAAAGATTATACTATTTTTAAATATTGGTCCATCCATGACTTGTTATAAAGGCATTATTTATTTTGGTCTTTTCAAGTGGTATTTGATAACATTCACTTCTAGCTCAAATCTAGTTGGTCTTCAAGTATACCTACTTTGGAAGTTCCATTTTTCTAATTTTTTTGTTTAGAACCCTGTTTTCTAGACACAATCTTGAATAGGCACCTTGCATCAAATTTTTTTATTGCTGATTTCGATAGTCCATGAAAAATACGTCAACACGAGTTTTTTCTTTTTCTTCTTAGTCAAAAATTGACGGAGATACAACGCTATGAAATATGCCTATGACGTCGCTTATCATATAAATTAGTGACGTTGCACATGCTTAGTATATCTATATATACAAAACTTAATATTTGTATAACTTCCGGAATAATCATATTTGGGCGAAATTAAAAAAAAGTAACGATTTTTTTTTTCGATTTCCTACAGTTTGCAATAAAAAATAATCATATATTATATCACAAGAGCTTTAAATTTAATCGATTAAACTATCCAACATATTTTGAGCATGATTTTGCTTGGAAAATAGTTGAATGCACAATAACTTGATGATTGATATTTAAAAGTTATTGTGCATGAAACTATTTGCCAAAAAGCAAAATTATGCAAAAAATATTTAAATTTATAGGTCGAGTGGTATACGGCTAGATTATTTCCTGAATAATTAGGATTGAATTGTTGGCGTCAATCCTATCAAAAAAGTTCTATTTATTATAAAATGTCAGAATATTTCTATCAAAATTCTGTCAAAAAAGGTAAACAAAAATTTAATCGCTGATAAACAAGGTCTTGTGAAATAATCACTTATTTAAAAAAAATTCATTCAAAAAATGACGTTGTTTGATGGGTCTATTTTATAATGAACTAGCTAATGACCCGCTGCGTTGCCAGCATGTAAATACATTTTGAAATAATACACTTCTTTTCAAATTTTGTTGTTGATTTTCTATTTAATTTTTTATTTTTTTTTTAATCCGATATCATAGTCGCTTGCCAGTGAGTTCAGTGACGCATTTTAAGCACTCCAGAGCTGCTCTAGAGCGCCCCGGGCTGTTTATAGGCGTTCCAGTGTATCAGAGTTTTACGCAACCAAACTTTTTTTTTCGGGATAAAAAATAGCCTATATCACTCTCCGATTCGATTGACCGGATTAGATCGATCTGATTCAATTTAAGTGAACCACACTGTTTTCGATTCAAGCTGGATCAGTGCACCCTCATCAACAAAAAAATGATCTAGATCAGAAGAAGTTCACTTAAATTGAACCCAAATCGATCTAATCTGGGTCAATCGAATTCACCTTATATAGAGATACGTGGTATTAATTCAAGATCGGTCCAGCCATTCTTGAATTCAGAAAATAATAAAGTTACGCCGGTTGAATGCAAGCCTAAATAAATGAAATATAGCAACGTTATTTCATGCTGTCAAAAAAAGTTGGGTTATGTTGTTATGTAATGTGAATGAGTTTGTTTACAATTAAATTAATAATTAATTCAAAATTAATTTCTTTTTCCGAGATGCGTAACCTATCCACAAACCTTCCTTGGGATGGCCATAACAACCTACCAAAATTTCATCGTAATCGGATAAGTGGTTTTGGAGCGCATATCCGGATACCCCGTGAGCTTTGATTTTTATATATATAGATGAAATAGATGAAATAAGCAATTTAATTTTCCATGCAAGTACCCTATTTAAGCTTGAATCTATAATCATCTTCCTTCTCTCAGAATTGCGCAATCTGCGGCCGATAAGTTATGGGCTGTTCCATTGTGGTTTCTATTTTACATCCGGACCCATTAGTAAACCCCAACTGTGTTAAATTTTGGACCGAAAAATCTTCGTACTCACACAACAATGTCATTAATCTTCCGGATGGTTTTTTTTTGCGACCTTACAATGAATTTAGATGCGGAATTGTTGGTTGGTGATCGGTCTTAGATAATAACAGAAATCATTTTATGTACATACAACAATTTTAACTATTTTTTTTTTTACATGAAACCTATACCTGTCTTACTCTTAATTTATGTCACTTTCAATATTTTATCACAAAATCTTTTTGTACTATTTTATTGTTTGTAACAACTTGTCTTTAGGATCCTGAGGATGACCATATATTGGACGAAACGTTGATCCATACAAAAAATTTGATTCCCTAAGCTGTTTCACTCACCTATCACCAACCAACAGCTCCACATCTAAATGTTATTAATCTTTGCTTTATTTAAGCACCAAGTGTCTACCAATTTGAAAATATTTTTTATATTTTTAAGGGCATACTTGGGTTCACATCTATTTTGTTTTTCATCCAGCCTTTTTCTGAGTTCACATTTTCTTCTCCATGCAGGCTGTCCATTTCTTCCTTCTTGTCTAATCATGTTCCGTTGATCAACCTTTTCTTGATAGGCCCTGTTATCAAGGAAAAGTATTCGTTGTCCTATGCTTATGATGACATTCTTTGCTAAAATAAAGCAAATAAAACGATCGTTAGCTTCTAGACAACACTTCAAGTCTGGTGCTATTAATTTGTTATAGTAAAAATCAAATACTTGAAATTTATTTGCCAATAAACAATATGGTATTGTTTGAACTTCTCTCATATGCCCTGCTCTCAGGTATTTAACTAACGGGCGCATAAATAGCTCGTTTAAACGACCAACAACTTGAGTAATAGCGAAAGGATGTATGTGATGTGTCCAGCGCAGTAGTAAAAAGGAAAAACCAGTTTGTAAGTAAGTGGCGAAAGAGGTTTTCTGACCCCGTATAGGTCTACTGTTTGACATGCACTAGCGACCATATGTTGACTCTGAAGTTTTGTCTACCCGAGATTTGTTCAGTCTTCCGACACAAGCTTTTCGTTTTCTAAACCTCCTTGTAAAAGCAATTATTCTTTATTTTCTTCAGGAGTCGTTTAGGTTTAATTACCTGTATACCTTTCGCGTGTAATGGGCATCACTATTAGAGACATAGCAATATTTCTGAAGGAATATCACTGACACTAGTTGACATTGACAATTAGCCAGTATTCAATTCAAAGGTATTTTCATCGATTGAATCATTGAATCAATATGTCGATTCCGTCGGGGAAAGAAAGAACCGTAAGTGTGCATAGCGCAAGAAAAAAGTCTCGAAGAACCACTTCCGACATAAAAACTCCTGATCTGAGAGATGATTGGAAACAATTCCCAGTTTTGTTTCAAAAATATTGCGAAGCTAGGCTATGCCCGATGTATCCGAAAGTTTATAATTTTTTAGAACGGGACGATGGACAATTTATACAAATAGATTATCCTTTAAGCAATATGGATTACAAGACGACCGAAAATAAGTTGGTTATTTACACTTACACCAATAGAGAAATGAACATAAGGAAAACAGTGTGCAAATGCCCTCATGTTATTGATACCAGAATGTTCTTTGCACTTAACCAAACACTATTAAATTATTCTAGCATGACATGCTTGAAATTAGAATTCTGCAATATCGGTGCGGATCATATTATTATTCTTCAAGACAGTTTGAAGACAAAAAACATCATAACTGAATTAAGTTTAGTTGGAAATCCGATAAAAGAGCAAAGTTACTATCGTCTTATTTATTGTGGCCTGAAATCGTTGATACTGAGATTTTGTGAAATTACTGATAGAGGATTGAAGAAAATAGCCCGAGAATTTTTAAATCACGATTCCGATTTTGCCACTTTAATTCATTTGGATTTATCTAGCAATATGATTTTTGATGAAGGCTGCAAATATATCGCAACAATTCTAAAATGCGATAGAACTTTACAATCCATAAGCTTAATCGATTGCAAAATCACTGATGTGGGCTGCGCTACGCTTATTTCTTGTTTCAATAAATTCGCATTGAATTTTGAAGAAGTTTATAAACGCAGAACCATTCGACTAGAATATTTAAAACAGCTTCAAAAAGTCAACGTGGATAAGGACGAACCAGAATTTATTTTATTGGAAAATAAAATCAATCGATATCCGTTTACTAATCATGAATCATTTGCAGCGGAAGGTTAGCATGTACATATTTAATTGGTATAAATCAAGTGAAATTAAATACTTTTAATTTATCTAGGTGAAATTTTCTGCATGGGGAATTACACCCTCATCAGCTTGAACATATCTCACAACAACCTGACAAGTTCAAGCTTAGATTTAGTTCTCAAATCACTCGTGGAGCAAACAGAAACTTTCGGCAATGGAAAAGGATTGAGGCGTGTGATTTTAGAAGGCCAAAATACTCCAGAGTGTGAAGATATCAAATCTAAAATATCGGATTTTTTGTCAAGCAAAAATCGTAAATCCCAAACTACTAGCTCGGCGGAGGGGAGTATGAGAAGTAGATCCAGTGCTGAGGCTCATAGTTCTGCTCACAGTGCTGGTTTCGATAAAGAAGAGAAAGTTTCATTTCAATGAACCATTAAATTTGTAATTTTCTATATTTTGTTCGTTTTTGTAGTTATATGTAGAAATATAGCAAAAAGAAGAATAAGATGTCAGATTTAGTGCCGATACTGCCAGCTAATAGGTTCGGAATCGGTCTGTAGCTAGCGACATTGATTGCACGGAAACAATATTCCTTTCCAATATTTTACTGGGTACAATCTAGCAGTGTCTTAGAAGTGATTCAACCTTATAGTAAGGACTTGTGAACTTAACTCATTGTTAACTCAAACTAAAAATTCTTTATTTTAATTAATTCAACCTATTGTACATTTACAGGCGGGGGGGCTAGTCTTCCCTCTAACTACAAATAACAATAATTTACTTAAAACTACGACATAGACTTACAAACTAACGCTCAGTGTGCGCAGCACACTGTACACCACTGCGCGCCTAACGCGCTGTGTGGTGTTTTGGCCAGTTGGCGGTCGATGTTCTGATCTATCAAGCCCTTAGTCCCATTCTTCTTATAATTTTTTACGACGTTACCCGGTTGCCCTAACACGTCGTTTATATGACCCTGCATTCGCTGGTATTTTCCACGGATGGCAAACACTGGGCGATTACACTGGCTTACTCAAGGATGGTGGGTGGATGCTCTGAGTTGGAGTTGCAGAGCGCGCAGCGCCCGTTCTGTGTTATTAAGGAAAATTGGAGGTTAAAAAACGTTGGACCTGGGCGGGATTCGAACTTGCGTCCTCAGCGTTGCCGGTGTTACGCTCTAACCAAGCCACCATGACCCTACAGACCTTTTTGATTTTTTAATTGGTGTTGTTCGAAGAAGTTGCGCTCATTGCCAAACTTCTCAATAAACCCACACATTTATGGCATCGGGTCCAACTCGAATAAGCTACTTATTACTATATAGGTTTCATCCATGTCTGTTGAAACTTGATGTATGCGATGCTTGAATATGCAATGTTAAAAAGGAATGTAGTTTTGTCGGTTACAACAACCGAAAAGCGTGGAAATTGAAAATCAAGGGAAAGTTAAGGAAAATTTTAGGATTTAAAATTTTGGTCCTGAGCTGGATTCTGACCCGCTTCCTCAGCATTGCCGGTGCTACGCTCTAACCAACTAAGCCACCATGACCCTACAGGTCTTTTTGATTTGGGATTTGAGAAGTTTGGCAATGAGCGGAGAACTACACAACTTCCTCTGACAATAATAATAAAAAAATCTGTAGGGTCATGATGGTGGCTTAGTTAGTTAGAGCCTAGCACCAGCAATGCAAGTTAATTAAAAACGGGGTTCTTCAAGCTTTTCCCTGTAGAACGGGCGCTGTGCGCTTAGCAACCCCAACTCCGAGCACCCCCAAATTTTCGAGCAGGCCGATGTATCGGCCCAATGTCAGCCATTCGTGGTATTTACCAGTGACTTGAGCCATTTGAACGATGTGTGAGGGCAACCCGGAAACATCGAGAATAGTTTCAAGCCAAGATGGAAACGGGGCTCTATTGCCAGAACATCGGCAAACAACGCCATGCCACAAAGCGCGCTAGGCGCGCATGTGGCAGCAGCATGCTGCGCCATGCTGAGTGTGTAGTTTTAAGTAGTCCTGTCCTAGTTTTAACTTATCTGTTTATTTGTAGTTTGAGGAGGGCCTAACCCCCATGCATATAAATTGTCAGAATTTAATTATTTAAATAAAGAATTTAAGTTGAGTTGAGCAATGCTGAGGACGCGGGTTCGAATCTCGCCAAGGACCAACATTTTTAACCCTCCAACTTTCCTTAACTTTCTCTTCATTTTCAATTCCACGCTTTTCGGTTGTTGTAACCGACAAAACTTCATTCAAAAATATATTAGTCCGATTTGTCAAAAAAATACACTGTGAATCGGTAGATACAATTTGCTTAAACAGGTGATTTATAGGAAGAGGGGGCCCACTATCCATTTGGGATCACATCTATGATAAGTAGTAATGAAGCAAATCATTAAAAAGTGCATAATTTCAACTGTTACCGTTTTTGTCAAGGTCATTCAATATTTATTGGGTATTTTACTGTCCTGAACCAAAGTCCTCGAAATTAATTTGCATTTTGACCAATGCTGATAGAGTGTGAGGCGGTAGAATCAATGACATGTTAACACAGCAAGACACCACATCTCATTCATAAACTGATGTTTACTGTGATGACAATACCCCCCATGGGCCAGGACAGGTGGGCTGCTCGAGGGGGATCATGGTAGGGATGCATCAGTGGTGTAAACAAGACCCGTATTGCCCTCTGAACCCGTCATCCACTTGACCAAAATATTAAAGAAATACGCACGGGTGCAACTCTGTCTTCCTCTAACTCATATGATATAAGTTTGATAGGTGCGTTAACATGCCAATCGATTGCAGGTGTCTTCCGCTTGTTTTATAGAATCGGTGTTGCCAGTAGTCGTTTGAAGTCTTGAACCTCTAATTTTTTGAAGCAAAATCATAACAGGATAAAATATCAATCCGTAAAAATTTGGCATCAAGATGTTGGCAACACAATATTTTGTTTACTGTAATGTCTATCTGTGTTAATATGTCATTGGATAGAAGCCCCTGCAGCTGACGCTATGGGCAAGAAGAAAATGGATAAGCTCCAAAACAGGATTGCTGAAATGAAAGCAGAGAGCGAGAGGAGATCAATGACCTGTACGACATCATAGAAAAGCTGAGACAAGGCGTCATGCAATAGTAAAAATCATAAACTGATGATGCAGGGATTAGCCAGCAGCATCTGCAAAGTGTGGTCAAATAACGTTAAGAAAGCGTGAGTGCACATACACTCTCGATAGATTATAGGCACGCGTACTTGAAAGCTAAAGAGAGGATGAACCTGGATGCACTTAACCTGAAAATGCAGGAAGTAGGACTGACAGAAAGACTCCGCATTCGCCAAGCAGCTCTCAAGGCATCATTTGCTGCTGCTCTAAAGAAGCCACCAACTGTCAACCATTTACTTTCAGAATTGAACACAGTGACAAATTGAAGATCCAATTCGATCATGCCAATCTAGTGAGGAAAAATATCAGGATCTTTCCTAACACCACAGGAGAAGAAGCATCATGCGGTAGTCCAAAAATTACCTCAAGATGCCAATTGCAGGAATCGCAGAAGAGCAGAGAGTAGTCAACTACAAAGTCGCAGAAGTCACCCAGATGACGAACAGAAGAAGGAATCAGCCGATGAAGCTTTTCTTTGTGAAAACCTAGGAAGAGAGGATACGGAAAATTAAGGGATTGATGAAGTTTGATGCTTGAGTAGAAAGGAAGATTAGATGCCGATGATTGAAAGTATTGTCGACAGCAGAACCCGGTCATTCTTCTTCGCTGTGCTCCCATTTATTATATCAATTACGTATATCAAAAGTAATTGAATTAATGTTCAGATTATACTAGAGTTGAACAAGAAGAAACATTTTGGGAGTTAGGTATTACACACATTTTCTCTAAATGATAATAAGGTGTTTTGACAAACTGTTTAAATCTCACAATCTCGTTGAAACAGCATTTATTTACACCTTCCGACTTCATGCACATTATCACATCTGATAAAGATTCTGTACATACAATAATTGCTTCCTATGATAGCATCTTACCCTGATTTTTTCCTGTTTCAAATATATACATAATTGTATACTGTAAAATTTCGTTGGGGCTAAGTTATTACTTGAAAGAAACGCTGAAAGTTGGTCAACGACAACTCTTTCAAGGATCTTTGACATCGTAGGCAATACACTGATTGGTCAGAAATCAGCCAACTGGGTAGGGCGCGATAACAGGAACTACATTGCCAGTTTTCCACATCGACGGAAACACACCAAGAGAGAGGTAATAATGAAAGTTATGTGGTCCGTCAGGTGAGGCACGATAAAAGCTAACATTTCCCAATTAATGCCATCTTGTCCCGTTGCATTAGTTTTTAAGCCTATGATGATTTTTTCGACATCGTTAGGCTCAACAGTAGGGAATTCGAAGCGGTTGCGAGGCCCAACAGATTTATTAGTGTAAGTGTTATTGACGAAGTTAGTATTATCATTAGCGATGGATGGAAGTGGGTTCAAGAAAAACTTGTTGAAATCGCCTGCAGTATCACAATCTAAAACAAAGTTACACTCTTTTGAATTAGAGCTAGTATTCTCGTTTGAAGGTGCACTGCAGGTATGCCCTTTTCTCGGCCCGTACAGCAATATTCGCATGGTTTCTTAAGGCTTTGTAGTAATTCCACGCTGCTCCTGTTTTATTTATTTTTATACTTGGAGAGAGCCTTTCTATGTAGGTTCATCATCAATTTCAAGTTGGGAGTCAACCACGATACTGAGGCCATAGTTAGGCAAGAAGTCCTGAAGGGTGCATGCACATCAAAGATTTTTGAAACATTATCACAAAAAAAAAGCAACATGTCTTCTACATTATATAAGGAATACAAGAAGTCCCAGTTGACCAGATACAGGTCCCGCATGAAACTATTATAATCAAATTTAGAGAAGTCACGATAACAAAGGTAGATTATCTCTGTTTTTTTGACACAATTTAATTTGAAGGCTGACGACTGACGAGTTTGTGATCCAACAAGTTATCCATGCCCAAATTACTAATATCACTTACTATTTCAGGATCTAACGTAACAAAGCTTGACCATTTGACGTTTCAGATTCCAGAAAGTTATCCTTGATTGGTCAACCCTGATAAAGTGTGCATGGAAAATAATTTTACGTATTCGGGTGAGCGGAAAAGTGAGACTACTCTTCTGTAGTCCTCACGAAACTATCACTCTGTTCAACTAACCGCATCATTGTAGGCGAATAGGTATATTGACTGCCTCACACTGACTTTACCGACTCCTTTCATACAAATCATACACAGTTCGATTCTTATGTAATTTTTTGATTATTTTCTATTAGGTATTCAGGATGGACATTAAACAGTCAAAAGAATTGTAGTGTGAATAAATAAATCATTGTTTTAGAAATAATCTCAACAACCAAACA